TATTGGAGAAGGAAAGTGATTTTAGTTTGTTGAAAAGGGTGGGATGGTTAATGGAGTCGAAGGCTTTTGAGAAGTCAAGAAGTATAAGGACAGTTAATTGTTTATTATCTATTGCAGTCTGAACATCATTGGTAATTTTGATTAAGGCGGATTGTGTAGAATAGCCGGGACGGAAACCAGATTGGAGAGGATGAAATTGGTTGGACTTTTCGAGGAAATTGGAAACTTTTGATTGCACCAATCTTTCTAGGGGTTTTGAGAGATTGGAAAGAATTGAGATTGAGCGAAAGTCTTCGGGAGAGGATGGATTAGGCTTTTTATTTAAAGGGAGTACAATAGCTTTTTTCCAAGAGGAAGGGAATATTGAGTTCTGTAGGGAGAAATTGTAGATGAAAAGGAGAACTGGGAGGATTTCGGGGAGACATAATTTTATTAATTTGACAGGAATGCCATCTGATCCTATGGAATTGGTGTGGGATTTCATTACTGCGGTTAGTAAGTCAGTCGGGAAAATATCGGAGAAATAAAAGTCATCATCATTAAATGATGACTCAGGAGCAAAGTTGGAAGAGGAGGGAAGAGAAGAGGTAGAGGAGGCAGAAATAAAATGTCAGGTGAAACGGAAGAGACCAGTGAGGAGGGGGATCTGGAAGGTTCACAGAAGGAAAGTTTGCGAAGGATTAGCCATTTAGATTTGGGATCTGGGGCAGATGAAAGGTTGTTCGAAAGAATAAATATAGTTCATTATTTTTTAAAATTAATTTTCCTCCATCATGTATTTCACCTGCGAGACTCATTTCGGATTCGGTAGGAAGAAACTGCGACAGGAGCACAAACCTTCGCATCTCACGGCGGTCCAAAAATTACTTCACCTCACCATACGAGCCAACTTTTGCTCTTACATTCCATTATTTGTTCACAAAATCTCGTCATGCGCCGAAGGCTGGGCGCAAGTTGATCCACGGCCTGCTGTGGCGAAATGATACGACAAACCGTAAGATTAATAAAAATGGTCATGATAATTTTGTTTAGTATTACATTAGAAAATTCTTCTGAGGATGAATTTTTTCTATATTTCTCTTTTTTTTAAGCACCTGCTTTTTCGAATTTTTTTTTCACCATCTAAAAGACTGTTCTCGATAATATTTTTTTTTTTTTTTTATCACATTTGAAATTTCTTTCACTACTACCAGCAACTAAACTTCTCCTTTACAAAGTCTAAGGGAAACATGGAGGAAAATTCTTGAGGTAGCCATGATCCAGTAGTGGGTTGTCGGGATGAAGAAGATCGATCACATTAAAAAAATTGTCATAGAGGATAATTTATGCTATATTTTTCTTTTCTTTAAATAGCTGTTTTTTAAAACTTTTTTTAAAAAACTATGCTGCCACCATCAAGAGGGGAGAAATCATTAGTACTTCTCACGATGATATGAGGATGATTTTTTCCTTGGCGATGTCTGAAGGAAAAGCCTTAGTGGATATTGATAGGTAAGGAATTCCAAAATTATGATCAAAGATGAAGGGATTTATCAAAGGAAATAGTTTTATAAAATGGAGTATAAATATCAATTGGTTAGGTTCCGGTATCCAAGAAATCACGGGCGGATCTACGGGGGGGGGAGGCCTTTCTGGCTGAAGCCCCCCCCCCAAATGAAAAATATAACCATGTTTTATGGGAATTTTTTTTTAAAAATACCTCTTAAAGTATTATTGTTCGTGTAATTACATTTAAAATCACTTAAGGAATCACTTAAACACCATTTAATATAGGTAGTTAGTTTCTTTCTGTTTTTCCAAAGTAATTATCGTTATTTTTATGAAAAAAAAAGGTTTCGGGCTGAAGCCCCTCCAAAATTAAATTCTGGATCCGCTAGTGCAAGAAATAGATGAAGGAACATACTGAGTTAAGAGATAGGGTTTGGAAATTGTAAGAACCAAGGCCCATCAGAGAGAAGGGTAAAGCCAATTTATATTTGGTTTCTTACATCCAGTGAATGAAGTGTGGGGGCATCCGGGTTAAAAGCAATGATGCCAAACCAAACTGTTATTACTTTCACTTACCTACATATGTAATATATAGTAAGGGACAGTATCGCGATCGTGAAAATTTTCGACATGTCTGAACGGAAATACATGTTTTGAGGTCTCCTGAGTCCAAATAACCAAGTCCTGCAAAATGGTCTGTGTGTGTGTATGTATGTATGTGAACAGTCTAGCTGAAAAACGAAATGTCGTACCTGAATGAAATTTCATATTTAAGATTTTCATATATCTCGGCTAACTGGGAATGCCATTTTATATCAACAGTGAAACATATTTTTACAATTTTCTCAAAAACGGTTCTAACGATTTTGATTAAACTCGATGCATCATTGTATAATTAAGTCGTATTTAATATTATTTAGATTTGATCTCCATTGATATCATTTTACAGGGGTTAAATGCCCAATGTTCATATATGTCTTCCTCTAAAGTACGTTTAATATGGTTTATTTTAAAAAAAGAACTCTCTTTTACAGACAGTAAATATAAAAAATGGCTAAATATGAAGTTTTAGGTTTAGCTCGGTTAAAAAGCAATTCAAAAATTTTATAACAGCCTAGAGTCCAGAAAATAATTTCTATTCAAAGCTGAGCGGTAAGTGAAAGTTGTGTGTTGTGCGCACCAGATATTTTTTATTTATAATCAATATATTATAGTCAAAATCAAAGTTTAGTTTATATCTCACTTAGTAAAATTCTCAACATAATGAGATATCTATATTTATTAAGAAATATATCAGTTATTATTATTACAATATTTTTTTTATATCCAGCTTATAGATTTCTTACATTTGTCCTCTAGCAGAGATGGGCAAATGCTACTTTGAATACCAACTACCAAGTATTTTACTCAAACTGAATCACTACTTCAGTCAATCGTTACATCAACTGAAGTAATAATTAAATTCTTAGATACTCAAAACAGGTTAATGTTTGAGTAAAATACTTGGTACTCAGTACTAAGAGTAGGATTTGCCCATCTCTGTCCTCTAGACAAGAGGCCTCTCTAAACGTATTGGCCTAAAGATGCACCTTTAACAAGAATATGCAATCATTACTTGCATATCATACCTGGAAATTTAAAATATTAAAAATTTCTTGTGTAAAAATAAATAAATAGGTTTCAAAAGGTTTTTATTCTTAATAAACTTGTTTTTTTATAAATCTCTTTAATGGTGTTTCAAACCAATCACATAGAAAATAATTATAATAAAATATAAACAAATTTTATTTACAATCAATACTTATTCAATGTATTTTATTATAAAAAAATATAAAACATATATACACTATTATACACATTTAAAAACATACATTTTTTACAAACCTTATTCATTTATAATTCAAAATATTTACAGTTCTGTCTTAAAAATATTTTTTGTATCTACAATAATTTACATGGATAAAATTAAACATGCAGAATCTACCACCCCTCTAATTATTATAACTAATAGATTAATTTTAAAGTTATTAATTATTCAAATAAAGAAATTATAATGTTTATGATATATAAATATAAGAAAAATATTTAATAAATAATAACACAGAATTTTAAATGTTAAAAATTAACTATAAATAACTAAAGATTTATATAATCTAAATATTGACCAATAAATTTTTATTGAATAATATATAATAGGAATATCATGAATAAGCAAACTAACTGCTGGAGGAAAAGAAGTGAGAGTTTTCATAACTCCAAAGGAGTTGGATAATGAAAAGATCTTCAATATTAAATTCAGAAGCAAAATTCTATCCCTAACTCAAACTTTCAAATAATTAAGAAACCTTATTATACCTATTACTACATAAAACAATTGGTAATGGTAAAATGATGTCAGTTAGCTTGCCAATTAGAGCTAAATTATGATTTTAAGTCACAATACAGATATGTGCCACAACAGGTACGCCATCAGTTTATTGTAAGAAAGATACCGCATCTGTATAAACAATTTTTTTTTCATCTTATAATTGAACTCTGTCTTGCTATTTCCTGCCTGCAGGGAAGAGAGAGAGTAGTTCTAGAGGTACAACACAACAAACCTATTCTATCCAGAGTGGGAAGATCAAAATTCATTCTGCTATAAAATAAAGTTCAACCTGCACAGACCAGATTCAAACAAGAGTTGCTAGACTCAAGAATGTTAAAGTTTACACTTTAACAGGTTTGGCCATCACAACTTCATCTATATAAACAACTAAGAGACAGCAAGTGAGAACATAACATCAAAATTGGCTAGATAAGAACCGGACGCGCACTAATATTTGCTGTATATCAATATTCCCGACCACCAAAATGTTATGTAAACTTAATATTTTGAAACAGCCAGAAATGGGCTGCAGCTTTTGTTTGGCATGTTTTAGAATATTATCGCAAATAAAAATGCTGTTCTCTAACATATGCATAAAATATGAATTTCAACTCGAATATTTAAACAAATAATGATGAAAGCATTATTTTTACACATAAATATCTGAACCTTTTCTATAGGAATAGATTTAGAAGAATAAAACAATAATTATGCCATATTAATGCCAAATGAAAAATGGTGGAGTTTTGAAAAATAACTAAAAGCCTTGAAATGGATTTTCAAAGGGGGCTGGAGAGAGGAGGGGGAGCAGGAGTGGAAGAAATCGGGAGCAAAAGAAGGGAGAGGGGTGGTGTCTTTTGAGAAAATGTACCTATCAGTGAGTTCTAACAACTAGCCAAAATTTATCAAGTCTCCACTTTCTTCTTTGCCTGAGCTAAAATACTGTAAAACAAGCTTTGTGCGATGAGCGAAAATTGACAATGTTGAATTTTCTAAATCAAGAGTTTATATATATAATTTCAACAAAGCAGAGAGAGAAGGATCAAAATTCTTGCATGTATTCTTTCTTCTTTTTTTTTTTGGATAGTTGAAGTATAATAACAGTTTTAAAAAGAAATTAAAATGAAAGTAAACATGTTTGAGCCTAGCTTTTCTTGAAATCCTCAGCAAACCTAACGGTTTTTGAAGAAATTACACCATTCGCTGAAAGTTTCTTTTCTTGGTCATTTAAGTTATCTTTATTATCAAGACGATCTCCCTTTTCTCCAATATTAATTGTATTATCTGGATCTGAAATGAATATGAAATCATTTTTATATTGATATAAATAAATCACTCTATAAAATAGAAAATAATAGTTGTTTTCATTCAACTTTGGGAAGAGCATTAATAAAAAAAAAAAACTTAAAAACCAGCAATGACAATTTTTAATTAGTAAATTGCTTATTATTAATTACAGCAGAACACTAATTCTATAGAATAAGCACAGGCCATTTCTACATGATATGTTGAATATATCTACATAAACTATCTTTTCAAAATACTCAATAATTGAAAATCAAAATTCCTAATTTCATCCACAAAACCAATCAGCAACCAATTTTCAGGATTTTGGACTTTCTCTGAAATCCTGATAAGTGTTTAAGCACAACACTGAGATATAAAATCCAGAAATTTACTATCCTTCAGGCAATGAACTATTATGGAGATAGTGTTACGAAAAAACTTGTTCATATGTACTATATGTATAGGAATTATTTATGAAATCTATTCATATTTTATTGACAGGATATTTAGTAAGAAAGGTTACTGACTGCACAGGTAAAATCATTGAGAACAGGATAGAAAAGCAATATTTTGTAAAAGAGCAAAGTGATTACATTGCTGCAACAATGGCACCTCAAGAAATTGTGTTGTGTGGTTAGTTCAGTGAGTTTTGTGGTAAGAAATCAAGTGTTAAATTATTAGTTGATGAAACTGGTTTCATAGAATTCAAAACAAGCTAAAAATATTGACATAAAATTTCATTTTGTGGAAGATGTTATTTCAAAAAATTATATGAATTATGGATGTTAATTTTGAGGGCAAAGCTGCAGACTTATTTACTCTCCCATTTAAATACTCTACTACAATAGGGAATCCTTCCGAGTTGTCAATTATGTTTTGCAAAGTTTCGGAGAATCCCTTGTCTGCTAGGCATGTATCTTAATTGGGTTCATACGCAATTATTATATTTAACTGCCTCCAGCATCAATGTCATTAATAGAGATTCATGATATTATTTTATCTTTCCATCTTTGGTGAAAAATACAACCAACTCCTCCCACAGCTCTCTCTCCTGTGTAACCACTCTTGAGAATAAAATGACGTATTCCTCAATCATTATCTCGCCTTGGCCTTTCGATTGTGTTTCCATGATAGCTAGTATATTTACCTTAGCCGGTTTCTCTTCTCTATTCAGTTCAGGTTTCTTTTCTCCCAGACTACTTATGCCCCACGTTCCAAATCTTAAAATCCTTTTTCCTCGCCGTATCAGGTTCCATAAAATCTGCCCAGCTCTTTTTCTTTGTATTCTTGTAATGAAATAATTTCAGGTCAGGAGAGTATTACTCTTCAGGACCCAAGCACAGTTGTGGGGCTACCATTTGTGTAAGACTGTGCGCTACCCCTCCCCGCTTCAGTTCATCTGGGTTTCCTATTTCCCAAGATAGAAATTCTAGTGTTGCCCTCAGGTTGTGGGGAGAAATCCCTCCTCTTTTTTCCGGGATTGGGACTGCAACTGCAGTTTCTAAAAACTATAGCAGGCAGAGTTTGCCTCACTTGAACTACTGTATAATGGAGTAACAATGTTACACCTTGGGTGACTTTTATACCATGGTGATTTTAAATTAGAATGTTTCTGGCAGTCTTAAAAGTATTGGAAGCTAAATTTTTCTTTGTTTCCACTCAAGCAGTTAGTTCACGCATCCACTTTGTACCTTTCAAGACTGCCAGAAACATTTTAATTTTCAAAATCAACCTAGATGTAACAATTTCACTCCATTTTACAGTTTTTGGCCAGTAGGGTGACAGTCCTCCTATATGGAACCAGTCTTGTTGATTGCACTTTGCTTTGATACCCAACCACCCAGGCCATCTACAAAGGAATGGTATTGAGTATAGGTATGCATCCAAATCATGAAGCCTGAACCTCCCTAAATAAAAGAAGAACAAGTTGACATCTATCCAGATGATGGCTCTGTTGCTGGTTGCAAGAGCATATAAGATAATGTCTCATAAGGCAGTATAGGTCTTAGCAGAGCAGAAGAGAAACCTCTTGATCTCCTCCTATAAGATTTGCTGAAATATACTTAATAGAGAAGCCTCGGCAGAGATTCCGGAGAACATTCAAGTGAAGATTGAGAAACAGCCATACATGAAAGACCATATTGAGAAAAGTCACTGTTCAGAAATAGAAAAAGTGGTGTGTTACTACCACTAAGAGGACTACTCTAAGGATGTATTTCATCAATGTACAGTCTCGCCTAGCTGTCAGATGGGCTCAACCTGACTATTGGGTTTCTCAATTCCTCGGACATGGGGGAGAAGGAAGTTTTATACTAAGTTGCACAATTCTTGGGAAAGATATTGATCCCGTATTGTCGAAAGACCAGGAAAGAAGAGGGGAAATAAATAAATAAAAAATGTGTGGAGGCCGAATACCTGGCTCTAAAGGAAGGTGTTAATTAATAATCTCAAGAAATTATTGAAAGAAATAATAATATTCCTTTAATTATTTAAATAATAATATTCAATAACTATTTATGCTAACCAGGGAGCTCAGAAACTGACAGATAATCCTGTCTTTCACTGGAAAACTAAACAGTAACAAAAAACAATCACTTACTTTCAAAGTTATTTAGTTTAGATTGTAATTCATCGATATGTGCTTTATCTTTTATTGCCTGCTTTTTCAAATTTTTAATTTCAATACTCATTGCATACAGGGTTTCTTCAACTAACAACATATCACATGATTTGTTTTCATATGCTTTCCTGAACTCTCGAGATTCCGCCCTGGAATATTTAGATTATTTTAGTAGAAAACAAGAAAGGTTTTAAATAATCTAATGTATAAAAAATAATATATATTTTAAATATTTTATTTAAAAAATAGCACCTTAGATATCAGAGCAAGATATCTAGATAAAGATACTAAGTCTATTTAAGTTATTAGAGATACAAACAGACTCTTTAAAATATGGGGGCAAAGTGATAGTGTTACATAAAATTCATAGTTTCTAGCCCAAAGCTCTAGAGAAATTGAATTTGGACTGTCAACGACACAAGCTTTTGTCTACAAGAATGAACTAATAATAGCTAAGAAAATTATTTGAACAAATTTTTGTAATGGCAAAAATTATTGTGAATTACAAAGAAATTATTATAAACTGTTTTTCAAAATTTGATATTAAAAAAATAAATTAAATTAAAAAAAAAAAAAAAACATAAAGGCACCTTGCTTTATCTATAATTGTATGAATCCACTGCATATTAGACATATCTTTATCAGAAATAGTAATTATTTCTGGTGATTCAGGCCTCAATTCCAATTTACGAATAAGTGAACGCAGCTCCTAAATTAAACAAAAAAATAAATAAATAAAAATAAAATAGAAAAAAATAAATACCATAACTTTGAGCTACTTTAACCCAAAAGAGATGATTTGGAATTCCCCAAAAACATTTCTAAATTATACAGACATCTCTCTTGAAAATGGGTATAGTTCACAATCTCTACAACAGGTACATGCACATCCCAAGATACTTTACAAGACTTCTACAACTTTTTTATTTACATTTTAGGCTAAGACTACTCATAAACTAAAATATATTTAGTAACTGAATGCTTATAGTGGTACAATTTAATGTTAATAAAAGACATGAATATAACTGAGTTAAAACAATCATGCCACCACTGCAATTCATATTCATATTCATATTTTTCTCCTATGGGCAGCTTACACTGAATCTTGAATTTGATAAAACGGTAATTTTTTTTAAACACCCTATAATATTAAATGTTCATATTTTAATTTCAACTAAATGGCAATCTATTTTAGTTACTTAACAATCAAATGCAAGTCACAAGTAACACACACCATCCGATGAGACAGTCTTGTACGAGCCAACATTGACACACGCCTGCGTGAATGTGATAAGTTATGTTCCAGGTTAAGCAGTGATATGCAAATTGTATGTTTTAAAACAATTATTAAAAAAAACTTACATCATTAGTTTGTTTATAACTTTCCAACAGCTTTTGTTCCCTTAGTTTTACATTAGAAACCTCTTCATCCCAAAACATTTGAATTTTCCTATTTTCAGCCTTTAAAAACAATTTTGAATACACATTAAAAATAGATCACCTAGTAAAATAGTTAATACATTTTGTCATAACAATAATAAAGAGAGTACAAACCTTGAGTCTTTCCATTTCGTTATTTTTTACTGCAAGAATTTTCTTTGCTTGCAAATATTTATTGCGCAAAATTTCCATTTTTTTTTCAATGGCTTGCCTCTTTATATCTACTTCTGAAAATAAAGAGTTGCCTCTTTCCTTGTTTTCAAGTGGTCCAGCTTTCAAAACTGCTAGTTCGCTCGACAACAGGGCTTTTTCTTCTTTCAATTCCTGTAAACAACAAACAGATTATAAATTTGGAATTATTTAATAAGTTAAATTGTGATGTAAGCAGTTTTTGAGATATATTAAAAATTTATGTTTCAAAAGCACTTAAATCGTCTATGTTATCAACATGATTTCTTATTACATCTAACAATCCCGCCCAAAGCTATTCTTGTCACTACTCAAGTTCTCAAAGATCAACCTGTAGCCAAATCATGCTTGAATAATTACTTAATCGAATTGTCACTGGAAAACCAAGTGTAACATAAGCTATCAGGGACTGAATCAAAAACAATGGTAGAATACACCAACTCTTATCCGATCAATTAAACAGATCTTGCCATGGACCTAATCCCATCAATTATAAGTTCAAAATTTAACAAATCCTATTAGATACCAAGCAAATTAACAATCTTCTAATCATAATTAGATTCGTTGAGAAATCTCAGCAATGAAACCAGCTACCTTTTTTAGTGTTTAACAATCATATTTAAATCAATAGGGTCATATAAAGAAGTCTAAACCCATCCACTGTATCATGGTTTTTAAGGCACGTAGTTTGATCTCATTGTTAATCCATGTAATTTTATAATCATCACTTACTACCATAAACTCATCCAGAATTTCTATTACCATCTCCAAAATTAAGAAAACGTCCTGAAAAAAATGTTGATTCATTAACATCACTCCTTCCTGCTTACTATATATATTACTTAGGAAATTTTAATAAAAGAAGATATTTTATAAGATGCTCCAGTTGTGTCAGAACCAATAAAGATTATCTCTGCTTTAGAAACCCATGCAATCTATCTCAACCAAGTCTCAACCTTGTCACATGATGCAATATTTCTATACTATGGTTGATCTAGTTCCTCACACAAAATAAAAATAATTGTTTTATTTGACAAATTAACTCTCTTTTAAAATTTCTTTAACTATTTAATACAACATTGTTCTGGAACATTTCCAGAGATAAAAAATTATTGTTATCAACTTTTTTTGCTTATTTACTCTTAATCCAGCTTTTTTTGCAGCTTCCTCGAGGGTGAGAAATGCTTCCCTCAGAGCCCGTTTGGATCTCACCATTATGTCAAAATCGTCAGTATAATCCAGCAGCTGCACCAGTCTGTTGAACAAGGTCCCACCAACCTGAATACCTGATCTCCTGACAGCTCCTTGTGTGGCATTGTTGAAGAACAGGCATGCGAGCGCACTTCTCTGCCTCACTCCATTATCTGCGCAGAGCTCCTCCGAAATATCGGCTCCACTCCAATACATACTACACACATTGAATTCCTCATGGTCATTTTTATCAGTCGCGTCAGCTTTTTAGGTATTTCCATTCCTCAAGAATCTGATACAACACCACCCAATCTATACTGTCCAAGTAAACATATCTAATCTATTATTTTTTGGTCACAAGAATAATTTCATTCTACATTTTATTCATCCTAACATATCAATAGATGGATAAAAAATTGAGTTTGTTGTGGTTCGATTATTTTCTTTTTTATAACAGGAATCTATTATATTTCCAATAATTTGTTCAACTACGATTTTCCATTGACGATATTTGAAAAGATTAAGTTGGTTACTTTGAAAATAATAAAGACTAATCTTATTAAAATAGGTTTCTAACTCATTTTTCCAAATTTTGTGGATAAGTATCCTTCTGTTAAATGCTATCCAATTCTACTAATTATTGTTTCATGAACAATAAACTACAACTTAATGAAAGGAAACCAAAATCTGAATTTCCTACTTTACTATTCTTTAAATTTTCTTAACAATATAACTTACCACTTCCCTAATAGCGTTACAAACCTAGGTATCAATTTTGATAAACATCTAATAATAATAATAATTATAATATAATAATAAAAGGCTTAGGGAACCCGAAGGTTCGATGCCGACACCACCAATCGCTTATTAAACACCTGCCTCCACCGATCGCCATCTAAACCCAGACCCTTCAAATCGGCTTTAATGCAATGTTCCCACCTTCACTTTGGTCAACCCCTCAGACGTTTACCTTTCATTACTAAACCCAACAATTTTACAAGCCCATTTGATTTGCCAAGATGTAAACCTCAATAATATTAACCGGATAGAGTTCACGCAATTCAGCGTTGTGTAACCATTTGAACTCTTCGGTTAACACATCCTTCTTTGGTCCGAATATTCTATGCAATACTTTATTTTCAAAGACCTTAAGACGTTGCTCATCCTTTAATGTAAGCGTCCACATTTCGCATCCATTAAGAACTGTAGGTAAAATATGGGTTTATAGATTCTAGTTTTTAGGTTCCAGGACAAGGGACACAAGCTAAGTAGTTTTGACACAGAAAAATATCAAGCATTTCCCGCATTTAGCCTAAGTTTAATCTCCTCTTCAATTTCGTTTTTTTTCTAGTTATCGTAGATCCTAGATATCTAAACTTCTCCAGCTGTTCAAACATACTACCTTCTATATCGATATCATCAGCAATATTACCATATATTTCGTCTTATCCATGTTTATTTCAAGCCCTAGTTCTTTACCGGCTTTCATTAATGTTGTTGTATTTAGTTTCATAGTTTCAGTGTCTTCACTTAACAGGACCAGATCATCCGTATAGCTAAGCACAGATGTTGTCCCACCCAGATCCAATCCTGTTTGGTACGCATTACCTCCCTAATGGCATGTTCTAATGCCAAATTGAACAGGACAGGCAAAAGAGAATCACCCTGTTTTAAACCCGAACGAACCTCAAGCTTTTCGGATAAATTATTACCAAGATAAACATCTAATATAGTTGAAAAATATATAATTCTTATTACTAGAACACTTTACCTCAAAAGCTTCAATTGTGGACATCAGTGTTTCAGATTTTGATTTGAGCATCTCTTTAGTAATTTCTAGCATTTCTTCTAATTCCTTTGATTTCATGACCATCTGAGAATTAGCTACTTCAGTGTTGTAATTAATAACTTTACATTCAGCCAATTCTTCTTTTAATTCCTTCAATTCATCCTAAAGTAAAGTAAGATTTAATATCATATACTATATAAATGAAAAATAAAAAACAAATTATTGAGTACAAACGAGAAGTGTTGACTAGTTGGAGTTTGCTACTGTACATATCCTCTCCACGTGTCAATATTGTTCTCTGTGAAATCAATTTTTTCTTCCCTGAGTAATATTATATTAAATCCTTTCCAAAAACTCTCCTTCAAAAAACTAAAATTCTCAGATTCTATAAGAAATTAACTTAGCTCAAATAAATATAGTCCTTAAAAACGGGAAGACTATCTCATAGGATTGAAGGAAAGGGTCAAAACTTCTTGGTTTAACTCTAAACTTTTAAGAGAACAAAAAAGTTCAAAATAATAGAATCAAAATCAGTCCTTTTTTTTATTAAGGAAAGTTTAAATCACAATTCTTTATTGATATTTTTATGCCTTTATTTTCAATAGATTCTATATCAACACTGTCAATTAATAGTAATAGTTTTGAATTATTACTTCAAGATGGTAGCTGATTTCATGGATTCCTAAAAGCAATCAAATATTTACAATCACGATCTCATACAACACACGTGTTTTAATATTTAACCTACATTCTCTGAAAAGAGTATTTTGACGATGGTGAAAAACACTTAATTATAATAATAATAAAACCATATTTTAAAATAATTATACGATGTAAGATACAGAGAAAAAAGTTCAAAATAAAAATTTAATTTTGATTGCAGCAGTGCTTCTCTTTAATCAATTAATTAATAACCAATGTCAAAATTATTATACCTAGCTTTTAGGCTTAATCAATTGAAAGAGTTCATTTTGGACAAACTCTCGTTGATGTAGGATACTATCTACAGAGAACTCAAATTGATCTTGAAAAGCCACCATCTTGCAGCAGCGATTGATAACTACAACTATATTAGTCATTAGAGAATGTCACAAATACAATTTATTTAACATATTGTTTAAAATTGTATTAATGTTAATTTATTCTTCCTGACAGTTTTTTAAATATTTAATAAAGATGGCGATAAACAAGCTCATATTCAGTCAGAAAATACTATGTTAAAATTTATATTATGAAAAGATGAAGCAAACTAAAAATGTATAATGACTGAAAAGATATTGTGGGAATGAGTTATTGTAGAAAAAGTGAAAATATGGAGTTGTTGAAACAATCAGAATCTATTTTGTATCAGACCAATTAAAGACAAGAGATCAACAAACCAGTATCAATGAATTAAACAAGATCTTATAGGATTATCAAATATAATCTAAAAAAAAATAACAATGCATGCCAAACATGACAAAGTATGCTATCAATTTTAAAATATTACCTTCAGGGAAGCAACAAGATCTTTTAATGAATCGTCCTCAGAGCAAACATCTGCTTTGATTACATTGACTTTTGTAGATTCAATCTTAACTTTTAATTCGGCTATATCATTATTTGCTTTCTCTCTCTCTTCCTCTAATTGACATTTTAAACTATTAATCTGAAATAATCAATAATGAAATTAATCATTAGAATAACATACTTTAGCCATTGAACTCATGAATTAGTACCTTCTCATTGAACTGTTTGGTAAGATCAGCTTTTTGAATTTTTTCAACGTTATCTTTGGTATCAATTATTGCTTGGAGTCTATCAACTTCATGCTCCAACTCAATATTTATTAAATTCCCACTTTCTAATTGCTGATTAGCTTTATAAAGCTGCTGTTGCAATTCCTATTGAAGAGAATAGATAATATTTAATGATATGTGAAGTTAATAATATTTAAAGAAAGAAAATCAGTTTACCTCTATTTGTAGAGATTGTGAATCGAATGTAATATTATTCGTTGAAATAGAATTGCAATCCATTGTGTATTGTTTAATAGGAGCTTTTAAACAATTCGAACTGAGAACGATACAAATACCAACAAGCGGTCAATTTTGAATGAACTTAAATGTCCGTTAGACAGTGTTGTACCGCAAACAAAAAAAATAGGTACTGAATAAATTTGTCAATATAATCAACTAAGTAGGTAATATGTAATGCAACTAAACGAAATTATTTACAATTATCGTAATTATTGTTGTTTATACTTTTTCTAGAATATGTTATTGACACACTATCCACTATTATTCCGGCTTCTCCATTCACCATCATCCATACCACAGGCGGATCTACGGGGAGGGATAGGTTCGGACTGAAGCCCCCAAAATGGCAAAATATGACCATTTTTATGGAAAAATCATCTTTTAAAGTATTATTGTTCGTCTAATTACATTTAATAGGACTTAAAGAATCACTTTCGGATAGATAGTTAGTTTCTTTCTTTCTTCCGTAGTAATTAATAATTAAAGTAATTACTAAAATAATACCAAAATCCTGGAACCGTTAATGATCCGTACCTATCTATATATTCTCCTTGAAAATTTTCTTTCAAAAATTTTAAATGCATTTATTTTAGAGGTGCAGAAGACCCACGTTTCCACTAAATATGTAACAATAGATTATTATGTTTTATTTGGTTATATTTTTGTTTGGAAATCTCCAACAGAATTGTTGAATAATCATGAATCACTTTCAAGACTTCATCTCATCAATCCTGGGATGATACAAATGGAACCATCTGGAAACATCAATCAAATTGCTGATCTTTTTTAGGCGTTGGTGACCTGAGTGTTTTATGCCTTTAAAACAACAAACAAATTGGTGTTCATCCTAGATATTATTCATCATTACTGCTGTGGAAATTCGAGACTGTAGTTAAAAGACACATCAGTTCAATAAAAAAAACAAGCATTTAATTATGAAGTGATAATTTGTTTTTAATAACGTTAATTATAGGTATGTTAATGATTGTTTAAGATATTTGGCTCAGACTACGAATAGAAACAATGTGAATAAATGATAACAAAAATATTACTTCTACTATGTTTGGGGAGGAGTGAAGAGGGAGAGGCTTCAGCTCGAGAACCCAAAGCCACTAGTGCATCAACTGGATTTCTTTCTACAGCAGCATAAGTATCAGGTCTACTGAAAAAACAATTATTTAGCTAAGCACACCCGCCGGTAAAAGAGGCCAGCGCAACTATGGATAAACTAGTAGCACCTACACTTCCCAACACAGGCGGATCAAGGGGAGGGAGCTTTCGGCCCTTCCCTCCAAATGGTAAAATATAACCATGTTTTAGAGAAAAATATATTAAAATCTATCTCTTAAAGTATTGTTGTTCGTGTTGTGGGCGGGGTGGCCGAATGGGCTAACGCGTGTGCACTGCACCGCCGTTGCCCGGCAACCTGATAAATGAATCAAAGATATAAAAATAGACACGAGTTCGCGTCCCGGTGCCGGGGGAGTCTTTTAAAATCCCCGCTCACACCCCCTGGTCCGGGAAAATCCCGTATAACTTTAACGGCGAGGAAGGGAAGGACAAAAAAAAAAAAAAAAATTGTTGCTCGTGTAATTACATTTAATAGAACTTCGAGAATCACTTAAACACCATTTCATATAGGTAATTAGTTACTTTATCTTTTTTCTTTTTTTTTTAGTAATTATCGTTATATTTATAGAAAAAAAAGCTTTCGGGTTGAAGCCCCTCCCAAAATTAAATCCTGGATCCGCAAGTGCTTCCTATTGAACGGAACGAAATGTACTACCACTGAAATTCGTTCGTCACAGGCGGATCTACTGGGGGGATGAGAGGTCGTTCGGCTGAAGCCCCCCTTTCCAAAATGGTAACATATAATTATGTTTTATAGAAAAAAATATTAAAAACTATTTCTAAAAGTACTATTGTTGGAGTAATTACATTTAATAAGACTTCAAGAATCGCTTAAACATCATGTCATATAGGTAGTTTCTTTCTTTTTTTTTCTATCGTTATATATATATATATATATATGTATATATATATATATATATATATATATATTATATATATATATATATATATAATATATATATATATATATATATATATATATATATATATATTAAAAAAAGCTTCCGGGCTGAAGTCCCCCCCAAAATTAAATTCTTCCGTTCCCTCTTCGTTCGAACAACAGTTGGAACGAGTTAGAGAATAATGTAGCAGATATGATACTAAAACTATTTAAAACAACAGAAAGATCATCGACACAGGAGAAAATGAAAACAAACGGAGAGAAAAATGAATAAGAAAAAACTGTACATCTTTGGAATATTTTTTAGAATCTGTGAGCAACATTTTTCCAAAGATAAACCTGAATCAAAAGAAATTATTGAACTCAGCAGAGGGTATTTTAGGTGACAAATAGATAGGTAAATACGTAATATCAGTTTCGCACGACTTTTCGTTTTTGAGCTAGATTGCCAACATACACACACACACACACACACACAGACCATTTTTCGGGACTTGGTCATTTCGACTCAGGGTACCTTAAAACGTGTATTTCCGTTGAAAACTCAGATTCAAAAATTTTCTCGATCGCAATACTTACCCTTATTATATTACACATATACGTAAGTGAAAGTAAAAATCTGTTGCGCGAAACACACAACCTTTACTACCACTCTACTTTGAATAGAAGTTATTTCCTTCAATGTTAGACTATTATAAAATTTTTGTATCGTAATTTAAACAGAATTAAGCTTAAAGTTTACAGATAACAAATCATTAAGAACATTACAATTACAAATGTCTATTTATTATATCGACGGTAGGCAATACAAATCTAGTTCCTCCAGCTGCTTTTATAAACCACACAACTTCAGTTTATAACTTTATAACACTGTGTATAAAGATATACATTTTGCCACTAGAAACATCACTAATATTAATAATAAAGAATGTTGAAATTGGAGTTAGTCATTCTGTCAACTGAAAGGCTCATATATGCCTAGAGAGATTTGAAAGTACGTCAGAATATTTAACCTATAAATGATTATCGATTTATTATGACCTATTAGTTATTAAACTGTTACTTTCCATTGTAAAGTTTACTAAAATGATATTATGAGATTTTCATTGCCTACCACGATTAGGTCAAATGTTGTCACACTAATTGTATGTGGACAATGTTGGGATTTCACGACGGGAAAATTCATCAAATTATTCACTAATTTAATTTTCTAAAAGGTTACATGATGATTTTTTGGAATAAATGACCAATAGATACCTTATTATTTAAATATAATATCAGGTCTAGAGTTATTAAACTACAGTAAATTAATACCATTTAGGTCTTATCCCCATTGATGTCACTTTACAAGGCTTAAATGCCTAATGTTCATACGCGTCTGAAACTACATTAAATATATTTAACGTTATAAACGTATCTATAAAATATTTTTATATTTCACTTATTCTTTCACAAAAGTACAATGAAATAGTAGTGGATACTGTTGGAATATCACAAAGGGGAGATTCGTCCAATTATTCACTAATTGAATTTCCTAAAAAGTTACATGACAATATTTCGGAACAAACGGACGTTGATAAGTAATTATTTAAATATAATATCAGATCTAGAATTATTAAACTACAGTAAATGTATTTAAGGTTATGAACATATGCTTTATTCATCCATGAAATGATTTTATATTTTACTTCTTCTTTCACACAAGTACAATGAAATATTTTTTTTTAACAATGTCATCGCCTTGATTAGGTGGATTTTAAATACTTTCTATAAACGTAAAACTATTTTTTTAAGTTTACATTTAGTTAGTAAATTTCATTCAATTTCCTTGAAAACATGTGATTTACGTTAAATGTTATCAGTTTTCAAAGCAACTTTCAATGAAAAAATTTTCGACATTGAATTTTTATATTATACACACGTGAAGATCGAAGAGCCAAGAAAAAAAAGGATCATTCCGCAGTGTATACGGCGTCAGCAGTATGGCCATACCAAGACGTACTGCAACCACCAGCCGAGGTGTGTCAGGTGTGGTATGGCTCACGAAAGCACTTCCTGTACAAAGACTTGAGAAACAGTCGCAAAATGTGCCAACTGCCAAGGACACATCCTGCTAACTACAGAGGTTGCGATACTTTGAAAGAGCTAAGGAAGAGCCGCACAAGAAACCATACTCTGCAGAGACCTCCTAGAGGTCAATCCCCACCACCAGAACTACATGAGTTCCCGCCACTGCATCAGCCTCAGCGCCCTCATCCTATTCACTCAGGACCAGAACTGCAGCAGCAGAGACAGCAATGAGAACCAACACCGACAACAAACCAACAACAGAGACCTAAAGGTATGAATAGGGGCATTGCCCAAACGCTCCCTACTATTGAAACCGCCTCAGGAGATATCATACATTTGATTAGCGGTCTCAATAACTTCATACAGCCCCTCTTCAGTCTTCTACAACAGCTATCTCAGGCTACTCTCGCTCTTACCCAAAAATATGCCCCGTAATCAGACGACTGTGGGCTCCATGTCTATTATACTATGGAACGCAAACGGACTGAACCAACATAGAACCGAACTAGACATATACTTACACGTGAAAGGCATTGACATTGCACTAATAACAGAAACACACTTGACACCACATTCTAAATTTTATATCCGTGGTTACAAAATCTACAGAACTGACAACCCTGACGGAACTTCACATGGAGGCACTGCTATAATTATTAAAACAATTCTAAAACATAATCCATTACAATTACCCATAACACCAGAGATTCAAGCTGCAGCCATTACACTCTCAACACAACGACAAAACATTACTCTTGCTGCGGTTTATTGCCCTCCGAGGTATGTCCTGACACCCACGATGTTTAGTTATTTCTTTAAACGTCTTGGTAGATGCTTTGTTGCAGGAGGCGACTACAATGCCAAAGATCAGTTCTGGGGATCCAGATTATCTACTCCA